GTAATAATAATAATGACAGAATTGTTTGGTACAAGTATCTGTTGCTAGTAAATATTCTGTTTAATAATAGGATATTCGGATAATAGTCGAACGTTCAGATTATTTGAACAACGAGGATTCGAATATAAGAAGCTCTATTACAATAAGTCTAGATATGTATTTCAATTATTCCACACTGTTCAGACATTCACTTTTTTAATTTCAGATGTTGAAAAAAATCTGAACGAGAAGGTTCCAAAGGTGGCATCACCAGCAACAACGCCTATGAAGAAAGATACGCGTCATCAGGAGAAATTGTCGGCAACTAGCCGTAAGCGGCACGCATCGAAAGAAGAAATATTCGACATAGACATTCCAATAACGAAGTATCCTAAAAGAATTAGCAAAACATTTCCCAAAATGTCGCTTTCGAGAAAAATCCCGAATATAAATCTCGTTTTACCACCCGGGCCGAAGATCAACTTTTCAAAGGAGAATATCTATTTGGATGACGGCGATAACCTTTTCACGCGAAGATTAAAGAACTTACAGAGGCAGATAAAGAATTTGAAACAAAATGACGTGACTGAACGAAGCGCACAAAGTGACGAGTTCGACGACAGTATTTATTTGGATGACAGCGGTGACAAACTTATCACGAGAAGATTGAAGAACTTACAGAGGCAGATGAAGAATTTGAAACAAAATGACGTGACTGAACGAATCGTACAAAGTGAAGAGTTCGAAAGTATCTATTCGGATGACAGCGGTGACAACCGTTTCACGAGAAGATTGAAGAACTCACAGAGAAACGATAATGTCTTTAAAGTTCCCGAAGTACCGACAACCTCTGTAAAATCGGCAGATACCGGGTTTAACATTCGCGCCACTTCTACGCCAAAGTCATTTGGCGTGTTAACAGTGATAGGAGATGCAAAAATGAAGAGAGGTCTTTGTAATCTCGCTACAAAGGAATCCTCTACATTTGAACACGATTCTATGAACAGGGCGATGAATTTGTTGAACACAGCTAAGAATATCCAAAAGTCTAGGAAATTGTCTCCGAATATTTTAGAAAAGACGTCCATCTTCGAAAGTAATTCAAGCTTGAATAGTTTTGATCAAAGTTACACGAGAACTTCGTCCGACAACCTGCTGCTGGAAAGGAACATCCGATCGATCGACTCAGTTCGTACAAAGGTGTCTATTTTCGAAAATAATAATTCAACTATGGATAATTTTAATCGAACTTATGTAAAATCATCGTCCAATAGGGAGAAATTGTCAACGAGAGATATTCGATCAGTCCGAGGAAAGACGTTCATCTTCAAAAGTAACTCAAGTATAGACAGTTCGGATCAAAATAACGCAGGAACTTCGTCCAACAAATTTCTATTACGGAAGAATATTCGATCGGTCGAGTCAGTACGAGCAAAGGCGACCATCTTCGAAAGGAACTCAAGGATGGATAGTTTTGATCAAAGTTACATGAAACCTTCATCTAGCAAATGGAAACCGTTATCAACGAAGAATATTCAGTCAATCGACTCGGCTCGAGGACACAGTTCAAGCACGAACAATTTCGATCAAAGTTACGGCGGAATTTCATTAGAAAGTTCGAACTTTCAATCAGATGACTCGACGCGAAACGATTTGATTATACCAACAAAACATCCTTCCCTGATTCACGAGTTAGCGAAGCAGCTGAAGGAACCTCGTACACCAAGGAAAGAGGCTGTGAGAAGCGAGGTGAAAATTGCCCCAAGATTCGACACCGTCGCGAGTTCGGTCGAAGGAAAAATACTGAACGTTGACAAGAAATTGCCAAGCATCCATTCTTCTTCTCAAGAAAAGAAAAGAAACTGGAATGGACAATGGTCGTACAGCAAGTTCCTATGTTTGGGGAGGAAGTCTCCGGCTTCAAAGAGCAAGCAACCGAATCGCGAGGAGAATGCGATTCAGGGAATTATTCAAAGCTTTAACGAGAAATTGAAGATATCGGAATCGCGTCGAGGTAAGAGCTCCGATCTCAATCAGAATTTCGTGAGGCAGCTGGTGAACGCCTTGGAAAGAGGAGACATCTCTGCGATGAAGAAGATAACGCATCGAGACGAAGGAGAGGAAGACAGCAGCAGCGAGTCAGGGATGAAATCTTATTCAATCTCCCTCGAGGACACGGATTTTAGCAGCTGTTACAATCAAGAATCAGCGAGTGAGAATTGCGACGAGCAAAGATCCGACACTGAAAGCCTACCAACAGCTATGGAAAACCTAACGGTGGAAATCGAAGAGGAGGAAGACGATTCTGTTTACTGGATACCGATATCAACGCGCAAGCTACCAAGAAGCAGTTCCTTGTTGAGCGTGATCTCCAAGGTGTCAAGCAATGGTTACTCGCCTTGTATCAGTCCAATCAGAGGCGACGACGAGATAGAATTTTTACAACAGGTAACGGGCGAAACCACGCCAGAGCAGAACGCCGCTAAGAAGATCAGGATGAACGAAACCGTAGTGATCGATTCAGGTTATTCTGATAAATCTGAGAGGTCTGTGGTCAATTCCGTGCCATCAGTTGCGGATAATATCTGGTGTGACGATGCGTTTTTAAATTTTAAGCCTGAACGTACATCTCCTAGGCGGAAATGGTCTCCGAAACCGATATCGATTGCCGGACGTATTTATTGTACTCAGTATTAGAGAGAAATAGGACACGCCACGATTTCGCCTTATCTTCCCGAGTTTCTTGCTTCTCGAAGCCTCCCCGTTTTGAAAACTTTTGTTTTCTGCCTAAAAGCAATTCTAAAGGGTTAAAGTCACGATCCGGAGGATAAAACTATGGATAACTTCTAGGATTTCTCCTTATTATCCAAATTACCGAGGGTAATCTTCGTAAACGTGGTGAGTAAAGAATAAACCTTTCCGAAGCTGTTTATTGTTGTAGAAAAACGCATTGTACCGGAAACTTTAGCTGGATTAACAGTGGTGAATTGACTGTAAATTACTGTAAATAGTGATTGAAAACCTCCTCAATCTTAGGGGAATCGTATTATTGCGTATTATTGGTCTTAACAATTAAAGAAAACGCACACTTTTATTTAGATTCGAATTTTTTGCTTTATTCTTTCTTAATTATGTCGTTGCCAGAATCATACCGTTATTACAATATCATTTCATTTTTAGCTGGAGTTATAACAATATACTATAAACTACAAATAAAGGACACGCTTGTAAACTGGATAAAATGATACAGCAAGCACTACGAATTCCGTTTCAAAAATATTTTGCTTTACATCGCGAGGAACGTAAGAAAATATCTTAATTTTAGTAATTCTAAAATATTAAAATTTCACAGAAATTCTTTTTGCAATTTTTTCCTAAATATGTAAAATTGAAAATGGGATATAGAAATAGACGATTTGCTTGAGTTGTCTCCAAATGGTAGAGTCCAATTTGACGTGGAATTTACTTGAAATTATCAATTGCATCCCACGTTAAACTCTAACATTTGGAAATAATTCAAGCAAATTGTCTATTTCTATATTCCATTTTCAATTTTACATATTTAAAGAAAACTTGTAAAAAGAATCCTTGCGAAATTTTAATATCTTAGAATTACTAAAATTAAGGTATTTCCTTGCATTCCTCGCGATGTAAAGCAGTATTTTTGAAACGGAATTCGTAGGACTTGTATCGTTTTATTCTATTTACAAGCATGTCCTATATTTTTATACTTGTTATAATTCTAGATAAAAGTAAAATGATACTGTATATGACGATATGATTCTGGTAACAACATAGTTAAGAAAGAATGAAGCAAAAAAAAATCTAAATAAAGTGTGTTTTTCTTTCAATTGTTAAGACCAATAATGCGCAACGATTGCCCTAAGATTGAGGATTTTCAGTTTTTAGTCACTAAAGTAATTGACAGTCGATTCACCACTGTTAATCCAGCTAAATTTTTCGGTGCAATGCGTTTTTCTACAACAATAGGCAGCTTCGGAAAGGTTTATTCTTTATCCACCACTTTTACGAAGATTACTGTCGATAATATGGATAATAAGGAGGGATTCTGGAAGTTACCCATAGTTTAGATCCTGTGGATCGTGACTTCAATCCTTTGGAATTGCTTTTGGGCAGAAAATAAAAGTTTTCAAGACGGGGAGGTTCGGGCCAAAATTTAATTCTTAAAATCAAGTCACATAGAGCAGTTAATTCTCAAATCAGATCGAGTAAAATTCAATTTTGTTCATTCAGTAAATTGATATTTTTACAGAAAATAGATAGACCAATGAGAACTTACATCGTGTACTAGGCGATTACGAAAATGTATTTTTTGCTTTGCATATTTTTTTCTTTTTACGTGTTTCATGCGATTAATAATCAGAAATAAAATAATTTCTTATATACAGTTTCTCATCTCGCTAAAAAATTATTAATCATATTATCAATTAATTCTGTACTAGCCAGGTTCTCATTTGTCTCCAGATTTTTAAGTGTTTCAATGAACATAACTGGATTAAAACAGTTTAAGAAATTTTAGTTGTAGTTTCAAAAAATCCTAGCGGCGTACTGATGTGAAATTCTGTGGTGACGAAAGGGAAGGAGCGAGGATTCAAAATTTTAGCTTCAAGTATATCTGAGTATATATAAGTCTACTAATTTTTAGTTTTACGATAAAATTTTAAGCGGGAATATTTCGGAAACCAGAAAGTATTCCTGGCTGAAAATTTGAATTTTGTATCAACAGAGAACACGAGGAGGCGGCACTTCTTCGAGAAGTGGTGCTCCTGACACAGAAGTTTTTTTCGATTAAATTTTAAGGAGAAATATCTCGAAAACCAGGAAGTATTCCTGGCTGAAAGTTTGAATTTTGTATCAGGAGTACAAGTCGTCGCAACCTCTCTGTTACGATTGAACAATTAAATTAATTATTTCATTCAATAACTTACGTCATGTTTTAAAAATACATTGCTCGAGTCGATTGTTTTAAATTATTAGTTAGTAGCACTGCGGTCCAAACCCTAAAACCCCCAAAACATGGTGCACTAAAAAGTATTGGTTGTCCGGTCTATCCTATTGGTCAATGATGTAAACTCAGTCTATGTATTCGTACTAAATGATAATTAACAAATTTTTAATATCAAATGTAATCACCATCTTTTAATAAAGAGACTAATATCAATACCTTAAGTGTAATATATATTTCCGAGTATATACAGCTATGTGCACGACCTTTGACTATATTTACCATCTACCGGAGTAACGAATAGTAAATTTAATTACAGACGTTGTCATTACGGTGTTAAATGTCGAGACGTAAACATAAGTACAGACGAATATATATCTAGAGAGTGAAAAAGTGAAGGGAAAAAACAAGGTTTGCTAAATTAAACTCTTTGTAGATTTGCTGTACACGTCGCGTTTGAAATAAAAAAAGAAAGATAGTTTGATAAAGAGAAAAGATGACGCTACGTTCAAAATCCACGTCGCACATTTCGGAAATTCAAACGGTGAACGATAAAAAGTATTTACGAGAGAATTCCATTTCGACCGAAGACAAATACAGAACCTACACTGTGGACGATTTTGTAGAAAGAAGGAAACGTTTCTCAGGGAATATTACTGACGAATCGAGGAAACTACAATCCGTCAATAGATCCCAGAACTTTGTGAAGAAAATAATTGCTTCCTTCGAGAATAAGAACGAAGTTTGCACAGCGAATGACGAATTTTTCACGAGGTATTACAGAAGGAACAACCACGTGAATTATAATTCTGATTGCTCCTTCAACAGAAAGCTCGAAACTTGTGTCAAAATGAAAAACAACGAGATTCCTCCTGTTTCGAGTATCGAAGCAAGTAAAATATCGGAAGAATTTCACAGAAAACGGAAGAATTTTAGACTGAACGTGCATGCTGAATATCATGAGCTTGTACACTCAAACATTGAAAGTAGTAGAAAGGTTGTATTAGATAACTGTACTGAAAGTAGTAACTCTATAAAATCAACAGCTGAAACTTTCAACGATCAAGAAAATAATTTTGAAATAAACGAGAAAGATAAAAAATATTGCAAGAGAGATTACGTACAGTGTAATTCAAAAAATGACAACGTAATCTGTTGCGATCCCTCTACGTTCGATCCTAGACGAGATCGAGTCGAATTGCAAAACCGGACCGACGTTATGAATTCCTACACTTTGAAAAGCGGTCGAAACAATCACAAAGGCAATACGTTAGAGAGGATTTGTAAATCTGAATTTGGAACGAATCTGAAACTGGAGAAAGATTCGAGAAGGAATACTTTCAAGAAAAGGTTCAAGGGTAGAAATAGATTTTTCAAGTGTTTCTTCGGGTCCGTGATAAAGTGGAGGAAGTCAGAAGCTAAGGACAGATCTCAACGTTTCATGTTTCACGATGATCTGTTTGAAGAGACGAATACGGTTCGTCCTAAAAGTAATAAAAAATCGAAGAGCTCTCCGTATCAAACGATCGTGTTTCAAGAAAACCTTGAACAGGTGAAATAATATAATTATATGAAATATTATATAAATTTATTTATTTATATTTATATTATTTATTTATTTATTTATTTATATTATTTATTTGTTACAATTTGATATTTATTAATTAAAATTATACAATGCTTTGTCTTAGTCTTGTATAACAAAAAGTCCAATAATATATTAAAAGTGAAATGAATTAGTATTCATAAAATAACGAAAATTGCAGACGAACGAACGTAAGGCGACAATTCATCCCATTTATGAGGGCACAAGAAACAAACGACTTGCAAAGAAAAATGAAGATCGTAAACGTCTTATGATACAAGGGAATATGGAGAATGTCGTGAAACCTTCCGCAATCAAAAATATAGTAAAGCACCTGTCTCAATTTTCTTGAAGAAAACTTCGCGTTAATAAGAAAATAAAAGCTCACTAACTATCACAGATGAGCCACTTGTTCAATTATATAATTCGTGACAAATGACACTGAAAACCGAATGCTTATTTAAGATGTTGACTCGCACACAATTTTGTGAAGATCAAATTCACTTTGCTAATATCGTATGTTTAATCTTATAATATAATGTCTAATGTTTTTAATTAAATGAGCGAAGAATATTGAAATTTTATATTAACGTACGATATTTCTTTTATTAAAATTACATTGAATACCTACTTAATAGTTACTTATAAAACGGTTCTTTATATAGATTTTAATAGCCTTGCAGACTTTAATAACCTATAGATTTTAATAAAGTTTGCAATGGGCTTGGGCCAAACTTGGTTTAGATTTGAAAATTCAGAATTGGCCGGAACAGTGATGTCTAAATTTATTAGACCGTTCTATGTTAAATAATATACATAGAAGAGAAGCTGCTACAAAAATTCTCCTTACAAAAGAAAAAAAGAAAACAGAAGAAAGGTAAGAACGGAATGAGCCTGTAATTAATTCTATTGAGAACCACTGTCCGGCGCAGTTAATAGCATGCACTTTAAATAGTAAGGACGGCCCTCTATGTGAAAACGTTCGATGTTCTGACAGATGTATCTCGCGCATGAAATACAGTAAACCGTATCTAAAAACTCATCGTAGTTTGTCACAGTTAACTATCTTTTGTATGTAATAATTTTGGTTGTTTGTCAATATAATTACGTACAGGATTTTTTTTACAAAGTATGCAAGAATTTCCTTACGTGTTATCAGAATACGAGGAAATAAATCCTCTTCTTTATAAGCCCATTAATTCAACTCAACGAATCAAGGTATTTCCTTCAAACTGAAAACTAAAATACTTATGCAACACAATAATACGAAGCTGTTATTTATTACTCATTAACACAATATTTAGTAGTATTTTAATTGATTGCATTTCTCACAACCCACTATGCTTATGCATATGCTCATTTAACTTTACTGTTGGATAAGATTTATTACGATTGATTTAGAGTATAATATTATAATTACGCAAATACTTTAATCGTAATCATTTTTTAATCTCGTATGGCACTTGTACTGTTTGAAAAAATTAAATTTCAATTTAGCATTAAATGTATTCTATACAACAAATTATAATAGAAATGAATTAAACTAAATACTTGCTCTTGTGAAATAATAATTCAAATAATAATTTAAATAAAACTAAAATATATGTAAATTTTACTTTGGTTCAGAGTATAATGTTAATTCAAAAAGATTAAAAAATATCGATCTTCCAATTATTTTATTAATATGAAATTAATTGTGTTACAGTATACATGTTTCAATATATCTCCAAACTATATCGTATTAGGTTCAACTAGTGGCAGTATTTACTTATTTTCAAGAAAACCATGCTCCTTTATACAATTGATACCCTTATCGGTACATAAATTTTTTCTTAATTTATTACTAAGAGATTAAACAGTTTGTATGTTAATCTACTGTAAGAGATTGTAAAAATTTTTAATTTTTATCTCTATAACAACAGGAAGGAGCAGTTTCTTGTGTTCTCATATCACCTGATGAGAAAACAATTGCCTTAACAACAATTCGTGGTTTAGTTTGTGTAGTAGCTTTAAAGCCTATGCCAAAATTGATAGCCATATCAAGTGAACATATTTATAAACAAATTAACTGCCTTTGTTGGAACGATAATAGCTCTGAACTATATATTGGAGATGAGAATGGAAAAGTTTCTGTTATAGTGCTGTCTATTTTTACAGTAAGCCTTTATTTTAATATTTTAATCCATTCTATTAAAAAGATTTAATAATACCAATATTAATAAAACGATCATCTTTTAGGTAAATGGCATGTTTCAAGCACCGGCCTGTACATTGATGAATTTAGATTCAACTATTGTACAACTTAGCTTCTTATCACCTTTATTATTAGTGTCAACTTTGACACGCTGTTACATATGTGATACAATACAAGAACATTATAAACAAATAGGAAATAAAGCACGCAATGGAGAATTTGGTGCTTGTTTCTATAAAACATACCTTACAGAAAGTAAGACTGCTTCGATCGACCAAAAGGAAGAAAAATTAATCAGTAAAAAAGGTTCTTTTAATTTCATTACAGAAAGTAATAGCAAGGAGCAAAATGAAAATTTTCCTCAAATATTTTGTGCTAGACCAGGATCTAGACTTTGGGAAGTGTCTGCAAATGGAGTAGTGATGAAAACTCATCAGTTTAAAGAAGCACTTGCTATTTCACCTACAGTAATATGTAGGCCAAATATTAGAAAGCTCATTTATCAAAAGCAAACTGAACAAATCTGGCTGCCACAATCTATTAATTTCTCCCATCTGTTTGTTATTGCAGAGACATATTTATTTTCATATACGTCCACTGGTCTATATATTATTGATCCGCTGAGTGCAACTGTGGTACTATGGAATAACGAATTTTCAAATATAACTTTCGCGGAGACTATAGAAAACAAGATATATTTAATGACATCTGATGGTGAATTTCACTGTTTAGTTTTGTCTTTCCTAGATTCCTTAATATTACGACTGTACAGCCAGAAAAAATATTACGAATGTTTAGAGATATGCCTGATGTATAAAGTACAATTAAAGAAATTAATAAAGAATAGTGAGATTAATAATATTTGTGATATAGAGAATAGGATATTTAGAGATGACGAACTATCAACATTAATTCATCCTTTAATACATTCGTTAGAATCTAATGTAAAAATAGTTTCAAAAAAATTAGATTCAGGTATTGTAATCGTTAATTGCGGAAATTCAGATCTGAAAAATGAAGAAAGTTTTAAATTTCATTCTGTATCCCATTGCTCTCTTCAAAATGAAAGTCTTTCTGAAACTGAATTAATAACAGAAAAGAAAATATCAACCAATGACTTTGATAATAAAGTGAAAAGGGATGGGGACACAAATTGCAATACAGCGGAGAAAATAGAAGAAAGTCAAGAGGAAACCAAAGAGATAATGAATTCAAATAAAAGTGTAACACAAAGAATACAAGCAGATTTGGAAATTATATATACATTAGTTGGTAATATTAAGCCTTTAATGGATGAAGAAGAATTAGAAAAAATAATTTTAGATATAGATTGGAGGATGAATGTTATCAAAGATTCATATGAAAACTTAGATGAATTAAAGAATTTTATATATGAAGTATTAAGAAGCGTAGAACTATATTATTTTAATGTTCTATTAGAAAATGTTTCAATACAACTAATACAGTCTACAGATAACGAAAATATTATAAAACAGATAATGAAAACTTTTGTTAATGTGAATACACAGAGTTGCAGAAAATGTACCTGTGGTAGTGTGTATCCAATGAACGAACTAATAGAACCAAAGTTCCTGGAAATTGGTAGATCCCTTCTTAAGAAAATGTTAGATGAATGTAAGGAGCACTGTATAAGTTTATGTAACAAAATACCTTACATGTGGCGAGAATTCTTGCCACTTTACACAGAACAGCATGGTATTATGTCGAATGATCTAATACGTCAATGCCTCCAAACTAGAGATAATATTGTATTTTCCATTCTTTTACCTTTATTGGATGGAAAACATTGGAACTATATTGCAACATATACAAAAGAAATACAAGAAGGACAGTGTCTATTCTGTGGAAAATCTATGAAAAGAGGAAATCACGAAGAGTGGGTAAACTGGACTGCTGTGATATATGAAATCATGAAAAAACAGGGACCTGACATTGCCATGACACTATTAATAAAATTAGAAAAAACTATTCCAAACATTCATATTGATAGAAGGTATTATTTTTTTAGACACTTAAATATAAAAAGATAAAAAAAAATGATGAAATATTTTAATTTTGCAGTATATTTCAATCTTTAGTATTTACAAAACTTTTATACCATCATGGAATGAAATGTACCATTAATTTTAATAAAAATAACTTGGAATCATCTGAATATGATACAATATGTTCTACAAAGGTAGTTACTATTATTATATTAATCTGTAAAACATTACTTATTAAAATAAAAAAACATCTCGATTTTTGCGTTTGAGTTTTAACTAAACTATAAATTATGTATAAACAACTTATATTTTTTACAGATTCAAGACCAATTGGTAGAAATTCTCAAAAAAGACTTAAATAAAACTATTAATAAAAATGTTTTCGAGAATGGGCCACATCATTGGGGAATGCGTTATCAAAATAAATTACCTACATGTTCTTGTTGCACATTGTCCCTTCAAACACCAGTTTTATTAGGTAATAATGGAATTGCAATATTTAATTGTGGCCATGCTTATCATGTAAATTGTATGATAGAAAAAAAACTCACTGCCTGCAATCTTCATTCTTAATTATACATGCACACACACAAACATACAAATAAATCTTATAAAAGAAAATACGAATATTAATGTGTATATGTAGCTCTTATTAAAATGGTTTCCAAAAAGAAAAATTGTACACTATTTATTTGGTTTTTAAAAAATTTGACTGTGCATACTCATATAAACGTATTTACAAATTTATTGTCGAAATACAAATTATTATCACAGACAAGTCTCATGTTTTAACAATGAAATTGAGATTGAATTTAATAAATCTTTTTTATGATATATATAAGGAAATGTAAATATTTTATCAAGTACAATTTTGTTTGTATAGACAAGTAATAAAAATTAATTGTAATTAGTACACGTGTAAAATAAGTACATGAATAAAAATTAAGCAGTTCTTATGTAGTAAGCAAAGTACATTTCTTAAATTAGTCATTAAAATATATAAAGTTGTGGAAATACTTATAATAAATTAAAAGTCCTAGTCAAATAATTCATTATATTTACTGATTGTTATATTTCTAAAATTTTAATTTAATTTTAAAAAAATAATATACTTTATATTTACATATATATCATAACTTTTTTTATACCTCTGACAATAAACTATATATGCAATGTAATTAAAAAATTTTGATTTCAGTTCAACACTTACCTTTTCTTTTATTTGATATATTTATTAATTAATTCAAAAATATGTAGCATGAGGCATATTCTAAAAGATCAATCAATTGTTTCAAAAAACTTGTGATATTTTAAATATCTTAAATTTTTTTTAAAAACAAAGTTAAAAATAAGGAATAGTTACTATGACATAAATGAACCAGATAAAATTAATAAGATATTACTGAAATTACATTTTTATATCTACCGTTCTCTTGATGCGAAAAAAAAGAAAAGAAAGAAGCAAAAAAATGCATTAACAAAGATACTTAAGAAACAATGTGGTGCGACTTCCATTTTTATATACATAACCTCGAGCCTTAGAAGTCGTCAAAAATATGTTTCTTTCGTTATTAATATACTATTCGTCATAAAATTATAATTTTCTAAATTTTAAGAGACAAAATTCGCTATGCATAATATAAGTTGAATTATTAATTGGTTGAATCATTTTGCAAATCTATACATATAGCGAACTAAAATGATTAAGTTTCAAAATATATCTGAATGCTTTTTTAAATAATCAACGCTAATTTCGCAGTCACATAAATCTACACAAACATTTGATGACATTATAACAGAGAAGATAACAATTTTTGTTTAATACCAAATCATGTATTGATCAAATTCAGATACTTATTAAAAAAATTAATCTTGTTTAATAAAAATATTCTAAATCTTTTTCTTCCCACTAGATTTGAAAATATATTTCATAAAAAATTTAAAATTTTTTCATATAAGAATGGTTTTCTCTTCGCCATTTTTATATGAAGATTAGATGATCTTGTAATTTTTCTATTTTTTAATATGTCTTGCTTAGAAATTTT